GGGGTGAGTGGAGGGTGGACAAAGTGGATGTCTTGGCCTGAAAATCTTCTAGGGTGGAACAGGGTTAGGGGTGAGTGGAGAGTGGACAAAATGGACCTCTTGGCATGAAATTCTTTTGGATGAGGAGAGATGGTAGGAGTGACTGGGGGGGAACCAAGTTGATATCTTGGCCTGGCATTCTTATAGGGTGGGGGCAGAGGCTGGAGTGAGTGGGCAGAGGACCAAGTGAACTTCTTCACGTGGAGGTTTTCTTAGGTGAGGGCAGAGGACAGAAGTGAGTAGAGGCTAGACCAAGTGGTCATCTGGGCATGAAGGTCTTCTAGGGTGCGGACAGACAACAGGAGTGAGTGGAGGGGACCAAGTTGACATCTTGGCCTGAAGTTCTTGTAGGTTGGGGGCAGAGGCAGGAGTGAGTGGTGGGGGACCCCAAGGTAATGTCTTGGCGTGAAGATCTTCTATGATGGAGGCAGAGGGCAGGAGTGAGTAGGGGGGACCAAGTGGATGTCTTGGCATGAGGGTCTTCTAGGGTGGGGGCAGAGGTCGGGGTGAGTTGGGGGGACCTGTGGATGTCTTGGCCTGAAGGGCTTCTAGGGTAGGTGGAGAGGGCAGGAGTGAGTGGCGAGGTAACCAAGTGGACGTTTGGTGTGAAGTTCTTCTAGGGTGGGGGCAGAGGCCAGAGTGAGTTGGAGGGGAACCAAGTGGATGTCTTGTCCTGAAGGTCTATTAGGGTGGGGGCAGAGGCTTGAGTGAGTGGGGAGGCAAGTGGCCCTCTTGGCATGAAGGTCTTCTAGGGTTGCAGCAGAGGCAGGAGTGAGTAGGAGGGTGGCCTATTGGCCATCTTGGTGTGAATGTCTTCCAGGGAGGGGTCAGAGGCAGTTGGGGGGAGGAAAGTGGACGTCTTGGCCTGAAGGTCATCTAGGGTAGGGTCAGAAGCAGCTGTGAGTGGGTGGGATCCAAGTGGATGTCCTGGCCTGAAGGTCTTCTATGGTGGGGCCAGAGGGCAGGAATGAGTGGCGGGGTGGGTGGGAGAAATTGGACATTTTGGCCTGAAGTTCTTCTATTGTAGGGGCATAAGGCAGAAGTGAGTGAGGAGGGGACCAAGTGCCCATCTTGGTGGGAAGGTCTTCTAGGATGGGAGCAGAGGGCAGGAGTGAGTAAGGGGGGAACCAAGTAGTCGACTTGGCCTGAAGTTCTCCTCAGGTGAGGGCAGAGGGCAGGAATGAGTGGTGGGGGACCAATTGGGCATCTTGGCCTGAAGATCTTCTAGGGTAGAGCAGAGTCAGGGGTGAGTGGGGGGTGGGAGACCAAGTAGACATCTTGGTGTGAAGTTCTTCTAGGGTGAGGACAGAGGGCAGGAGTGACTGAGAGGAGCACCAAGTTGATGTCTTGGCCTGAAGATCTTATAGGGTGAGGACAGAGGGCAAGAGGGAGTTGGGGGCGGGGGGGAACCGAGTGGCCATCATGGTGTGAAGGTCTTCTAGGGTTGGGGCAGAGGCAGGAGTGATTCTTTGGGGACCAGGTGGATGTCTTGGCCTGAAGGGCTTCTAGGTTGGGGGCAGAAGATAGGAGTGAGTGGGTGGGGGAGAACCAAGTGGACATCTTGGCTTGAATGTCTTCTAGGGTGGGGGCAGTGGCAGGAGTGAGTGCAGGGGTAGCCAAGTGGACATCTTGGCTTGAATGTCTTCTAGGGTGGGGGCAGTGGCAGGAGTGAGTGCAGGGGCAGCCAACTGGATGTCTTGGCTTGAATGTCTTCTAGGGTGGCGGCAGTGGCAGGAGTGAGTGCAGGGGCAGCCAAGTGGACATCTTGGCTTGAATGTCTTCTAGGGTGGGGGCAGTGGCAGGAGTGAGTGCAGGGGCAGCCAAGTGGATGTCTTGGCCTCTCCCCCACTTTCATTCAGAGTCTTTTGCATCTCAGAGTTCTAAGTAAAATTTTATTTTGTAAAAATGATTTTGCTGGTAAAAAGGTATAAAAACATCTTGGTTTCATTTATCTACTTGTTATACAGTTAAGGAACTGGTCAGCAAACATTGTATTTCCTATTCGGAACTTGTAGAATTCAGCTATTAATATAGTAAAGAAACATGACCATATGTGAACAAAACAACCAGTGTTTATTAACCATCTACTTTGTGCAAGAAAAAACGAAGTGAATTCTTAATGATTAGGCACACTTCTGCTTGCTGTCAATTAGAAATGACATTCTTCTTAAAGTTATTGTTTAGGAAGCCAATTAAAGACCAAGTGAACAGCATTTTGGCCTTAGAGCCACCTTCACTGTGCCACCTTAGGTCATCTTTATTCGTAAAAGAAGAGCAAGGTTTTTTTCCACTTCCTATCTTGTGTAGATGTGTGGTATATATGGAGTGCTATTGCAACCTGGGAGAAATGTGCTGTATAGCCCCTTCTGGTTATTAATTTTTATTGTATTTTATTCCTTATATATTGGGCAATAAAGTATGTTATGGCCACCTGGTGTGGTGGGAAACAGGGTTCCAGGGCGTCACAGAAGGTGGCAGGCTGAGGGGCTGAGGCCGTGTCAGCAACTGTCTTCGGCTCCTTCGATGGAAAATAGAAGGAAATCCTGAGGGTTGTCACTCTGCAGCTCCCTGTTATGGCCATTTGATGTGCCTTCCTCTTGAGCAGAGAAAAAAGTCCCTTTTAGAGAAAGAGGAATCTAATTATGTAAATCTGCAGTTACAGACTGGAAGTTTCTGTGTTAAATGTGCCAAGGGGCTTTATTTGGACCGCCTGGTATTTTCTTTTTAATGTATATGTAGTGTTGGCATTTTAAAACTCCAGATTATGGCTTCTTTTGCCAAGTTGGAAGATCTGCCCACTCAAGGCCCATCTTCCCCATGATGACCTGGAGCTCTGCAGGGGCCACCAGGTGAGGGGCAGGCCCTTCCCTGTCACCTGTTTCCTGTCTCGCTTTGCCTGGTCACTTGAAGTTGGGGAAGGTTCTTGTCGCAATTACATCACCGTTTCCTTGCAGAATTGCTTATTTTCAGTTTTAAAAGTTATCGAATTATTATTGGAGTTCTAAGAATTGTTTTCTCTTGACTGAGAATTTTTCATTTCTAGAGGTGTTTAAAAATCAGAGGCTGAAGGTTTCATGTCCATGCAGGCAGACACGCCAGGGCCCCGTTACACAGCTCAGCAGATGTGCAGTGTAGGGCGTCATGCACTGTTCTCGTGAAGACAGACCAAAATGAGCATTTAGGGGTTCATTTGTCTCACAGTTTAATTTAGCTCAGTGTTATATTATGTACTCAATATTAGGGAGCTTTTCTTCATTTGATTTTGCTGGGCTGCCAGAGCTCATCTGTAATAACTATTCTTTTTATTTTAACTGAGAGAGTAGTCTCATGTCACCTTTGCTTCGTAATGAAGCCTGGAAGTAATTTCCCTGAGTAGGTAGTTTTTTTCTTTTTATCCACACCCTGAGTGGATAAAAAAGAAGCCTGAGTAAAGACCTTAACACAGTGGTTCTCAACCTTCCTAATGCTGCGACGCTTTAATACAGTTCCTCATGTTGTGGTGACCGCCAACCATAAAATTATTTTCATTGCTACTTAATAACTGTAATTTTGCTACTGTTATGAATTGCAATGTAAACATCTGATAAGCAGGATGTATTTAGGCGATCCCTGTGAACGGGTCATTCGACCCCCACATGGGTCATGACCCACAGGTTGAGAACTGCTGCCTTAACAGAAAAGGTTAGACAGTAGATGGGGATGGGAAGCTGGCATAGCATAGGAATCCCGAGTGCCTACAGGATGGGATACTGATGAAAAACAAGCTGGTTCACCCAGCAAAAAAATTCCAAAGAGCCTTAGAAATTTGAGGAACCTAATGTTTCAGAAACCAGAATGAGGCTTGGAGCTGAAAGCCGTAGAATTAGTTCAAAGTTGATTAAAAAGCTTTTTTGCCACACACCACTCCACGCAGGCAGGGAGTTGCTTCTACATCTTCACAGGAGATAGGAGATTTGTTTCTGGAGAAATTAAACTGAAAATGTTATAGAATCATGAATCAGGGGTGAGGAGGGGCACTGACACCTGGGCGTTACATGAAAGTAACATGCTTGTATTGAAGCTTCAGCCTCCTTCCATGTTCAGGTTCTAGGATTAGAGCAGGTGGGTGTTTGCCATCATGACTCCCATATGCTGGGCATGAAACTGGAGCACCTACTCTGGCCTCAGAGCAAAGATGTCCAGGTGCTGTCACCAGGAATGGCTCACAGAACCCAGCAGACTCCTGCTCAGTCACACTGGCATGCTCCCACCAGCCAGCAAGCAAGCCCTGCTGTGCCAGGAAGGCCTCCACAGAGCCTTCCAGAGTCTTACTCTAAAATATATGTGGAAAGAAACCATTAAAGATCAACAGATATTTGAAGCAATGTCTGACATGAAAGATAAGTAACGGCTCGGCGCCTATGGCTCAACTGGCTAAGGCGCCAGCCACGTACACC